CCAGGTAAACAAGCGGCCAGGTAAACAACCCGCCAGGTAAACAACCAGCCAGGTAAACAAGCGGCCAGGTAAACAAGCGGCCAGGTAAACAAGCGGCCAGGTAAACAAGCGGCCAGGTAAACAAGCGGCCAGGTAAACAAGCAGCCAGGTAAACAAGCGGCCAGGTAAACAACCCGCCAGGTAAACAAGCGGCCAGGTAAACAACCCGCCAGGTAAACAAGCGGCCAGGTAAACAAGCGGCCAGGTAAACAACCAGCCAGGTAAACAAGCGGCCATGTAAACAAGCAGCCAGGTAAACAACCCGCCAGGTAAACAAGCAGCCAGGTAAACAAGCGGCCAGGTAAACAAGAAGTAAACTTCTTCAGGTAAAAACTTCTTCAGGTAAACTTCTCCAGGTAAACTTCTTCGGCCATGAAGAATCTCAAGGTTTGGTACACCAATGCTGATGGGGTATCTAATAAAGCAGAAGAGATAAAAGAAAGAGTGAGTGAAGCAGATCCTGACATAGTTACAATTGTGGAAACTAAAATTAATGACATGATCTCAGATGCAATCTTTCCTGAAGGGTACCAGGTAATACGAAAAGAGAGGACACAGAGACAGGGAGGGGGAGTAGCACTCCTAATAAAGCGGAAATGGAAGTTTGAAGACCTGGGAAATCGAGTTACCAATGAGTGCACAAGCTTCATACATGGAACTCTGACAGTAGATGGGAGGAAGATTGTGATCTTGGTAATCTACAATCCCCCACCAAACAGTAGAAGACCCAGGCAGGAGTATGATGACAACAACAAAGCATGTATAGATGAACTGCAGAAGGCAGCAACACTAGCCCACAGAATGAGAGCGAAGCTGCTGATCATGGGGGACCTAAATCATGGAGAGATAAATTGGGAATCAAGGAATCCCCATGGAGGGGACGAAACGTGGGGAGCAAAATTAGTAGATGTTATAGACAGGAATTTCCTGACACATGTGAAGGAAGACACAAGGGAAAGAGGAGGAGATGCACCGAGCCTATTAGACCTGATTTTCACCCAGAACGTAGAAGATATCGAGAATTTAGAGCATGAAATACCTCTAGGGGCCAGTGACCATTGTGTCCTAGTCTTTGACTACATGATGGAATTCAAACTTATGACCATGGGACAAGAGATCTGCGAAAGGAGAGCTGACTACAGGAAAGGGGACTGTATGAGGATAAGGGACTATCTGGGTGAAGTGCAGTGGGAGGAAGAAATTAGAGGAAAAACAGTCCAAGATATGATGGACCTAGTCATACAGAAATGCCAGGAGGCCGAGGTTTAATAGGTTTAATAGGGGTTTAATAGAGGTTTAATAAGGAGGTTTAATAGAGGTTTAATAAGGAAGTTTAATAGACAGTGTCAGGAAGCAAAAATGGCCAGCAGGCGGGAGTGGAGGAAGTACAGAAGACAAAGAACAGAGGACAACAGAAGCAGATACAACAGAGCTAGGAACGATTACATTAACATAAGACGAACATCGGAAAGGGACTATGAGAACGATATTGCAATCAAAGCGAAAAAACAACCTAAGTTACTACACAGTCATATAAGAAGAAAAATGTCGGTGAACGACCAAGTGACAAGACTAAGGAAGACAGAGGGGGCATATACTGAAAGTGACAAGGAAATCTGTGAGGCACTGAATGCCAGTTTCCATGGAGTGTTCACTACCGAGCCTGAGCAGCTCCCATTGTTGGAAGGGGTTACCCTAGATGAAAGACTATCAGATATAGAGGTGACAGCAGAGGAGGTAATGAAACAGTTGACAACTCTAGATGCAACTAAAGCAGTTGGACCAGACAAAGTATCACCGTGGATACTAAAAGAAGCAGCACAGGCCCTCAGCGTGCCTCTGGCAATGATCTTTAATGAGTCACTTATGTCAGGAGAATTGCCCAGTTGCTGGAAGAAGGCAAATGTCGTGCCGATCTTCAAGAAAGGCGATAGGGAGGAGGCACTTAACTATAGACCTGTATCACTGACAAGCATCCCCTGTAAAATACTGGAAAGAATAATTAGGCTACGACTGGTTGCACACCTGGAGAACATTAGGTTTGTGAACAAACATCAACATGGGTTCTGGACAGGGAAATCGTGCCTAACAAACCTTCTGGAATTCTATGATAAAATAACGAGGATAAGACAGGACAGAGATGGTTGGGCAGACTGCATATTTCTGGACTGCCAAAAAGCCTTTGATACAGTACCGCACATGAGACTGCTGTTCAAGCTCGAGAGGCAGGCGGGGGTGGGGGGAAAGGTCCTAGCATGGATAAGGAACTACCTAACAGGAAGGAGCCAAAGAGTTACGGTAAGGGGCGAGAAGTCGGACTGGCGAACAGTAACAAGTGGAGTACCACAAGGATCGGTGCTGGGACTAATTCTATTTCTTGTATATGTTAACGACATGTTTACAGGCGTAGAGTCCTTCATGTCGATGTTTGCGGATGATGCAAAGTTGATGAGAAGAGTTGTGACAGATGAGGATTGCAGGATCCTCCAAGAGGACCTGAACAGATTGCAGAGATGGTCAGAGAAATGGCTACTAGAATTCAACACGAGCAAATGTAAAGTTATGGAAATGGGACTAGGAGATAGGAGACCAAAGGGACAGTACACAATGAAGGGGAACAGCCTACCTGTAACGACGCGTGAAAGAGACCTGCGGGTGGACGTAACACCTAATCTATCTCCTGAGGCACACATTAATAGGATAACGACAGCAGCGTACTCTACACTGGCAAAAGTTAGAACATCATTCAGAAACCTAAGTAAGGAGGCATTTAGGGCGCTTTACACTGCCTACGTAAGGCCAGTCTTAGAGTATGCCGCCTCATCATGGAGTCCCCATCTGAAGAAGCATATAATGAAACTGGAAAAGGTTCAGAGGTTTGCAACGAGACTCGTCCCAGAGCTACGAGGGATGGGGTATGAGGAGCGCCTGAGGGAACTGTGCCTTACGGCACTAGAAAGAAGAAGGGAGAGGGGGGACATGATAGGAACGTATAAGATACTCAGAGGGATTGACAGAGTGGACATAGACGAAATGTTCACACGGAATAGTAACAGAACGAGAGGACATGGATGGAAGCTTAAAACTCAGATGAGTCACAGAGATGTTAGGAAGTTTTCTTTTAGCGTGAGAGTAGTGGGGAAATGGAATGCACTTCAGGAACAGGTTGTGGAAGCAAATACTATTCATAATTTTAAAACCAGGTATGATAGGGAAATGGGACAGGAGTCATTGTTGTAAACAACCGATGCTCGAAAGGCGAGAGCCAAGAGTCAATGCTCGATCCTGCAGACACAACTAGGTGAGTACAACTAGGTGAGTACAAGCGGCCACGTAAACAAGCGGCCAGGTAAACAAGCGGTCAAGTAAACAAGCGGTCAAGTAAACAACCGGCCAGGTAAACAACCAGCCAGGTAAACAAGCGGCCAGGTAAACAAGCGGCCAGGTAAACAAGCAGCCAGGTAAACAAGCGGTCAAGTAAACAAGCGGCCAGGTAAACAACCAGCCAGGTAAACAAGCGGCCAGGTAAACAAGCGGCCAGGTAAACAAGCGGCCAGGTAAACAAGCGGCCAGGTAAACAAGCGGCCAGGTAAACAAGCGGTCAAGTAAACAAGCGGTCAAGTAAACAAGCGGTCAAGTAAACAAGCGGCCAGGTAAACAACCAGCCAGGTAAACAACCAGCCAGGTAAACAAGCGGCCAGGTAAACAAGCGGCCAGGTAAACAAGCGGTCAAGTAAACAAGCGGTCAAGTAAACAAGCGGTCAAGTAAACAACCGGCCAGGTAAACAACCAGCCAGGTAAACAAGCGGCCAGGTAAACAAGCGGCCAGGTAAACAAGCAGCCAGGTAAACAAGCGACCAGGTAAACAAGCGGCCAGGTAAACAAGCAACCAGGTAAACACGCGGCTAGGTAAACAAGCGGCCAGGTAAACAAGCGGCCAAGTAAACAAGCGGCCAGGTAAACAAGCGACCAGGTAAACAAGCGACCAGGTAAACAAGCGGCCAGGTACACAAACGGCCAGGTAAACAAGCAGCCAGGTAAACAGGCGGCCAGGTAAACAAGCGGCCAGGTAAACAAGCGGCCAGGTAAACAAGCGGCCAGGTAAACAAGCGGCCAGGTAAACAAGCGGCCAGGTAAACAACCCGTCAGGTAAACAAACGGCCAGGTAAACACAAGAAATAACGGTCAATAATCAGCAACAGACAACAGGGTAAAATTAAAAGACCCAACAGATTAACACATATAAGGTGCCACTTCCGCCCAGTTACTCTGTCCACCCAACACTCTGAAGAACACTGGTCGTTGGCAACACTGGCCGTTGGCAACACTGGTCGTTGTCAACACTGGTCGTTGGCAACACTGGTCGTTGGCAACACTGGTCGTTGGCAACACTGGTCCTTGGCAACACTGGTCGTTGGCAACACTGGTCGTTGGCAACACTGGTCGTTTTCAACACGGGTCGTTTTCAACACGGGTCGTTTTCAACACGGGTCGTTGGCAACACTGGTCGTTGGCAACACTGGTCGTTGGCAACACTGGTCGTTGGCAACACTGGTCGTTGGCAACACTGGTCGTTGGCAACACTGGTCGTTGGCAACACTGGTCGTTGGCAACACTGGTCGTTGTCAACACTGGTCGTTGTCAACACTGGTCGTTGTCAACACTGGCCGTTGGCAACACTGGTCGTTGTCAACACTGGTCGTTGTCAACACTGGTCGTTGTCAACACTGGTCGTTGTCAACACTGGTCGTTGTCAACACTGGTCGTTGGCAACACTGGTCGTTGTCAACACTGGTCGTTGTCAACACTGGTCGTTGTCAACACTGGCCGTTGGCAACACTGGTCGTTGTCAACACTGGTCGTTGTCAACACTGGTCTTTGTCAACGCTGGTCGTTGTCAACACTGGTTGTTGGCAGCACTGGGCGTTGGCAACACTGGTTGTTGGCAACACTGGTCGTTGTCAACACTGGTCGTTGTCAACACTGGTCGTTGTCAACACTGGCCGTTGGCAACACTGGTCGTTGTCAACACTGGCCGTTGGCAACACTGGCCGTTGGCAACACTGGCCGTTGGCAACACTGGCCGTTGGCAACACTGGCCGTTGGCAACACTGGTCGTTGGCAACACTGGTCGTTGGCAACACTGGCCGTTGGCAACACTGGCCGTTGGCAACACTGGTCGTTGGCAACACTGGTCGTTGGCAACACTGGTCGTTAACAACCATTGGGCAGGCAACAGTGGCAACCATTGGGCGGGCAACAATGGCAACCATTGGGCAGGCAACAGTGGCAACCATTGGGCGGGCAACAGTGGCAACCATTGGGCAGGCAACAGTGGCAACCATTGGACAGGCAACAGTGGCAACCATTGGGCGGGCAACAGTGGCAACCATTGGACAGTCAACAGTGGCAACCATTGGGCAGGCAACAGTGGCAACCATTGGGCGGGCAACAGTGGCAACCATTGGACAGGCAACAGTGGCAACCATTGGGCGGGCAACAGTGGCAACCATTGGGCAGGCAACAGTGGCAACCATTGGGCAGGCAACAGTGGCAACCATTGGACAGGCAACAGTGGCAACCATTGGGCAGGCAACAGTGGCAACCATTGGGCAGGCAACAGTGGCAACCATTGGACAGGCAACAGTGGCAACCATTGGACAGGCAACAGTGGCAACCATTGGGCAGGCAACAGTGGCAACCATTGGGCAGGCAACAGTGGCAACCATTGGGCAGGCAACAGTGGCAACCATTGGACAGGCAACAGTGGCAACCATTGGGCAGGCAACAGTGGCAACCATTGGGCAGGCAACAGTGGCAACCATTGGACAGGCAACAGTGGCAACCATTGGGCAGGCAACAGTGGCAACCATTGGGCAGGCAACAGTGGCAACCACCATCTCTCTCCCCAATTCCTCCTCCCCCCCCCCCCTCCATCCCATTCCATTTTTCCTCCTTCACACCCTCCTGTTGTCTCTCCCTACCGTTGTCTCACCCTCCTGTTGTCTCTCCCTACCGTTGTCTCACCCTCCTGTTGTCTCTCCCTACCGTTGTCTCACCCTCCTGTTGTCTCTCCCTACCGTTGTCTCACCCTCCTGTTGTCTCTCCCTACCGTTGTCTCTCCCTACCGTTGTCTCTCCCTACCATTGTCTCTCCCTACCGTTGTCTCACCCTCCTGTTGTCTCTCCCTACCGTTGTCTCACCCTCCTGTTGTCTCTCCCTACTGTTGTCTCTCCCTACCGTTGTCTCACCCTCCTGTTGTCTCTCCCTACCGTTGTCTCTCCCTGCCGTTGTCTCACCCTCCTGTTGTCTCTCCCTACCGTTGTCTCTCCCTCCTGTTGTCTCTCCCTACCGTTGTCTCTCCCTACCGTTGTCTCACCCTCCTGTTGTCTCTCCCTGCCGTTGTCTCACCCTCCTGTTGTCTCTCCCTACCGTTGTCTCTCCCTACCGTTGTCTCTCCCTACCATTGTCTCTCCCTGTAGGCAAGTCGTCCTCGTGTACCTGTGAATCAACTTACTGACTCGACGATCTCGACACTGCACAAACGTTTCGACGTGGAATCACCGTGGGTAACTGCCGAGACTTGGGCTGGCACACACAGTATGGGCGATGAAACACACACATCATAGGAGTCGTTTGTTAACGCAACAAGAGCCAGTCCCACTTATTGAGGGGCATGGGGGGGGATAGCGGTCGACTTCACCCTCCATATGACACTCGACAGTCATAATTCTCCATGGAAAGGTGCCTGAGGCTAACCACAACAGTCTGGCCTCCCACCTCGCACACACTAACAAGACCTCTTATCATATAGATGTACATGTTCCGTATATTTACTTATAAACCACTTTATTATAAACCGTTTTAGATTGACTCGTCATGGTAAAAAGCACAGTAGTCTGTCCATTTGGTATTTTCCCTTATTTACCAAGTGAATTATTTCTTTACTCTTATATTTAGTCCTTCGTTTACCAGAAGTTTACAGTAATGTTCTTAGTGAGGTTAGTAATTTGCACAGTGAGGGGCGCGCGTGTGGGCCCGCACGACGGTCAACTGTATACCTCTTACAAGTGACTTACGACACACATGTGTCTCTCAAGTGTAAACAATGGTAATGGTTGTAAACACGCTCCCGGGAGCTGTTGACGGCACTTGAGAGTTCACCCTAGTGGCTGCCACCACCCGCAGCTCTGGCACAGGCACACATTTACAAATATTTCACCTTTTATAGTGTCTGCAGAGGACCAGTGATCTGTGTACCAGTGTTGTGTTACCTGTGTTGTGTTACCTGTGTTGTGTTACCTGTGTTGTGTTACCTGTGTTGTGTTACCTGTGTTGTGTTACCTGTCTTGTGTTACCTGTCTTGTGTTACTGTCTTGTGTTACCTGTGTTGTGTTACCAGTGTTGTGTTACCTGTGTTGTGTTACTGTCTTGTGCTGCTGTCTTGTGTTACTGTCTTGTGTTACTGTCTTGTGTTACCAGTGTTGTGTTACCTGTGTTGTGTTACTGTCTTGTGTTACTGTCTTGTGTTACCTGTGTTGTGATGCCTGTGTTGCGTTACTTGCCTTGTTACCTGTCTTGTGTTACCTGCCTTGTGTTACCTGTGTTGTGTTACCTGTCTTGTGTTACCTGCCTTGTGTTACCTGTCTTGTGTTACTGTCTTGTGTTACCTGTGTTGTGTTACCAGTGTTGTGTTACCTGTGTTGTGATGCCTGTGTTGCGTTACTTGCCTTGTTACCTGTCTTGTGTTACCTGCCTTGTGTTACCTGTCTTGTGTTACCTGTGTTGTGTTACCTGTCTTGTGTTACCTGTCTTGTGTTACCCGTGTTGTGTTACCTGTGTTGTGATGCCTGTGTTGCGTTACTTACCTTGTTACCTGTCTTGTGTTACCTGCCTTGTGTTACCTGTGTTACCTGTCTTGTGTTACCTGTCTTGTGTTACCTGTCTTGTGTTACCTGTCTTGTGTTACCTGTCTTGTGTTACCTGTCTTGTGTTACCTGTCTTGTGTTACCTGTCTTGTGTTACCTGTCTTGTGTTACCCGTGTTGTGTTACCTGTGTTGTGTTACTCTCTTGTGTTGTGTTACCTGTGTTGTGTTACCTGCCTTGTGTTACCTGTCTTGTGTTACTGTCTTGTGTTACCTGTCTTGTGCTACTGTCTTGTGCTACTGTCTTGTGCTACTGTCTTGTGTTACTGTCTTGTGTTACCTGTCTTGTGTTACCTGTGTTGTGTTACTTGCCTTGTGTTACCTGTGTTGTGTTACTTGCCTTGTGTTACCTGTGTTGTGTTACTTGCCTTGTGTTACCTGTGTTGTGTTACTTGCCTTGTGTTACCTGTGTTGTGTTACCTGTCCTGTTTTACTGTCCTGTGTTACCTGTGTTGTGTTACTTGCCTTGTGTTACCTGTGTTGTGTTACTTGCCTTGTGTTACCTGTGTTGTGTTACCTGTCCTGTTTTACTGTCCTGTGTTACCTGTGTTGTGTTACTTGCCTTGTGTTACCTGTGTTGTGTTACTTGTCTTGTGTTACCTGTGTTGTGTTACCTGTGTTGTGATGCCTGTGTTGCGTTACTTGCCTTGTTACCTGTCTTGTGTTACCTGTGTTGTGTTACTTGCCTTGTGTTACCTGTGTTGTGTTACTTGTCTTGTGTTACCTGTGTTGGGATGCCTGTGTTGCGTTACTTGCCTTGTTACCTGTCTTGTGTTACCTGTGTTGTGTTACTTGTCTTGTGTTACCTGTGTTGTGTTACCTGTGTTGTGATGCCTGTGTTGCGTTACTTGCCTTGTTACCTGTCTTGTGTTACCTGTGTTGTGTTACCTGCCTTGTGTTACCTGTCTTGTGTTACCTGTCCTGTTTTACTGTCCTGTGTTACCTGTGTTGTGTTACTTGCCTTGTGTTACCTGTGTTGTGTTACTTGCCTTGTGTTACCTGTGTTGTGTTACTTGCCTTGTGTTACCTGTCTTGTGTTACCTGTGTTGTGTTACCTGTGTTGTGTTACCTGTCCTGTGTTACCTGTCCTGTGTTACCTGTCTTGTGTTACCTGTGTTGTGTTACCTGTGTTACCTGTCTTGTGTTACTGTGTTGTGTTACCTGTCCTGTTTTACTGTCCTGTGTTACCTGTGTTGTTACTTGCCTTGTGTTACCAGTGTTGTGTTACCTGTGTTGTGTTACCTGTCCTGTGTTACCAGTCTTGTGCTATATTAATGACACAACAATATAGACATTTAAGATAAGAAGCAGCGCGTATTTTATTTCAACGAAACTCATTCATATTTATGTCAAACATTCCACTGAAAAAAAATCCAGTGGTTCGACATTTATAACTCGTGTTGTGGGGGGACAGGGAGCCTGTGTGTGTATGTATACTTCAGGTGTGTATGGAGGTCCCTCAAGGTTGACCTGCACTGACCCTCCCCAGGACGCCACTCTACAACTGTGGCCTACCTCCTGGGCACCTACTTACTGCTAGGTGAACAAAGACATTTGGTGAAAGGAAACGGGATTAACCACTTTTGTCCCGGGAATCGATCCCGGGTCCCAATTGCGAATCGAGAACGAAGCTGTGTGGCGATACGTGATAATTTGTTTGTTAAACCAATAAACCTGACAATAGTCCCATCATTGATATTAATTCTCAAGTGACACTGGGCCTCATGTTGTCTCCAGTGTATCCTAATCCATGGTTGAAAGTGTTAGGAGGCAATGTGTCATGTTAGGCTGAGGATATAGTTCTACTCTCTCACACAAACAGGCTAGGGGGAGGGGGGGAACTTGATAGAAATATGTGAGAGATAAAGTGCAGGACACAATCAGTCTTTTAATGCTGTATAATGTGTTATAGTTGCTTGTCTAATGTGTTATTATTGTTTGTCTAATGTGTTATAGTTGCTTGTCTAATGTGTTATAGCTGCTTGTCTGATGTGTTATAGTTGCTTGTCTAATGTGTTATAGTTGCTTGTCTAATGTGTTATAGTTGCTTGTCTGATGTGTTATAGCTGCTTGTCTAATGTGTTATAGCTGCTTGTCTAATGTGTTACAGCTGCTTGTCTAATGTGTTACAGCTGCTTGTCTAATGTGTTACAGCTGCTTGTCTAATGTGTTATAGTTGCTTGTCTAATGTGTTACAGCTGCTTGTCTAATGTGTTATAGTTGCTTGTCTAATGTGTTACAGCTGCTTGTCTAATGTGTTATAGTTGCTTGTCTAATGTGTTACAGCTGCTTGTCTAATGTGCTACAGCTGCTTGTCTAATGTGTTACAGCTGCTTGTCTAATGTGTTATAATTGTTTGTCTGATGTGTTATAGTTGCTTGTCTAATTTGTTACAGTTGCTTGTCTAATGTGTTACAGCTGCTTGTCTGATGTGTTACAGCTGCTTGTCTAATGTGTTATAGTTGCTTGTCTAATGTGTTATAGTTGCTTGTCTGATGTGTTATAGCTGCTTGTCTCATGTGTTATAGTTGCTTGTCTGATGTGTTACAGCTGCTTGTCTAATGTGTTATAGTTGCTTGTCTGATGTGTTATAGTTGCTTGTCTGATGTGTTATAGTTGCTTGTCTGATGTGTTATAGTTGCTTGTCTGATGTTATAGTTGCTTGTCTAATGTGTTACAGCTGCTTGTCTAATGTGTTATAGTTGCTTGTCTAATGTGTTACAGTTGCTTGTCTAATGTGTTACAGTTGCTTGTCTAATGTGTTACAGTTGCTTGTCTAATGTGTTACAGTTGCTTGTCTAATGTGTTACAGTTGCTTGTCTAATGTGTTACAGCTGCTTGTCTAATGTGTTATAGTTGCTTGTCTGATGTGTTATAGTTGCTTGTCTAATGTGTTACAGTTGCTTGTCTAATGTGTTACAGTTGCTTGTCTAATGTGTTACAGTTG